ATCTTCACTTTTTCCACTTTCCACTTTTAAACATTTTCTTTTTCAAGTTCTGGCTGAGGGGCTTTGAGTATGTTTGTTTTTGTTAGTTTACTGCCCAGTTATGAACTCCTAACCAATGAGTGAGCCAGCTAACCTTTTCTCTGCCAAGAGACAACAACAAAAAAAAGATGGTCTTAGCTTCACTTCTGACCAAAAGAAGTGCAACGCTAGACGTTTGGTTTTAATTCACAGTTTAAAATAGGGATAGGAAAATCATGGCTTATTTTGTTAAGTCAGCGTTCCATTACTTTGGCTCATTGGATTCCCTGCTCAGTAACCATGGTAACTGATACGACTGAACTAGCCTGCTCCGCAGCTGGCTAACTGTCAATCTTAACTGTTTCAATGTATTTCCAATGGCCAGAAACAGAATCCCAAAAGACTGTTCCAACAAGTATCTTTTTGCACTCACATCCCTTTTTTCATGTCTGTGTTCGGAAACTAGGGTCAATGGATGGATTATTAGCATGATCAATCTGGTGATTATTGCCTTGTTACCTACATTGGTTAATGTATAATATAGGCTAACATAGATTATAATATAGACTGCAGTTGGCAATATACAATTAATTAAATACTTATTGCCTTTATTCTGATTGCAACAGTGAGAGAAAGAATGACGTGAAAGAAGTGCCACGGGGCGGACTCAAACCCGTGGTTATGAGTTAACACTGATAATATGCACTCTGCCAGGTGAGCCATCATAGCGCTGTACAACTGACTTTACCTGAAAAAGGTGAGCATACAGTGTATTTTCTCAAACAGAGCAGATCAGTTACTGCTCACTGACGAACTTATATTTGATCTTCTCCAATTCTACTCATCGTAAGATTCATCTCATCGTAATAGACACGGACATTTTGCAGGACATAGACCAAGGGGTCTCCTTAGGGGGGTGCTGCAGAGTTGAATGGGAAACAATGGGGGTCCATAGTCCAGTCATATCTTAACATATAGCCCTGAAACATATGTTGATTTAAGTGTGGCTTACTCTTCATTATGTCTGATGTCCACCTAGTTATTATCCATATCAGAACTTGCCTAAGAATCTTCATGTTTTTAAGTTTTCAGTTTCAGTATCACATTCATCCAGTGACAGCTTTCTGTACATCGTTGGCTACACCGCAAACAGGAGTTGCTAACAGCTAATTCAGCTCAGTGACAAAAGACCACAGAGCGTTTTAGCCTCTTTTAGCTTATAGTTTCTGTTTGGCAGTAGATTTACTGTCAGGTTCAGTCTAAACCTGCCTGCCAGCTGAAAGAGACAGATATTTCTCTCAGGAGCTGGATGGTGAGGAGCTAAAAGGAGAGTGAATATTGGATTTACATTCATCAGGTGGACACAAACAAGACTCCGGTGGAATGATCATGTTGTTCTGGATGTGGAAGTCGGCAGCTGTTTGATGACATAACAGCTATACGTTGGTTATGTACAGTATATGCTTGTTCCACTGCTCCCTACTGGCCAAAGAAATCAGTTCCTTCAGTTTAATTTGCCTTGTTTTATATATATTTACACTGCATTAAATTACATTATTTTGTATTAGTTTGTCTGGCATTATCATAGTTGTATCTTACAGTATCTTCAGGCAGTGCTTGCAGCAGCAGGTTAGGCTGACCAACAACACCCCCACCATCTTTTCATTGACCCCTGTGATAAGCTGCTACGTCAGACCATGATTCTGGTTGACAGCAGTTTATAGCGTGTCCCTGCTGGCGGAGGGGGAGAATGCTGTGATCCCAGAATAAGTCTCTCTCTCTGTCACGGATCCACAGCAGCTGTTAGCAGCACATAGCGCTCCGGTTACTATTCTGAAGTCTGGACATTAACGAGGACAGCATCAAGTACTGACTGCTGAACTTATATCTGCAGGGAGCTTATCCCTGATCCATAATACCATCAAGGTTTCTATTCAGTAAGAGTTGGGGTTAGTTTCATTGCTGTAATGGCCTGGATGTTGGAAGAAATGAATGAAAATGCTGATTAAATTTCTTAACGATTGAAAAGATTAGAGGCACAAACTATAAGATTTTATTGTTGTCAGTAGACAACTGAAAAAAGAATCCATACACAACATCCAGTATTGGTCTTCCACTCTCTTTAAAACTGTCACCATCTTCAAATTCCACTATTTTACAGATTAACCGTGGTTTGATTAAGATATTTCAAAAAAATATTAAGGGTAAATTAAAATTAAATATTTTTATGGATTATTTAATTAAAGGGCAAAATTTCCTTAAAAGTGAGATTGAAAAAAGGTTATGCTATTTGGTAAATTCTAATGGAATTTTACAGCCTAAAAATCCCTTAAATCCTGGGGATAATCCATTCAAACCTCTCTAATTTATCATAACCCATTAATTAATCCATTTATTAACCTCAAATTTGTGATGAATCCCTGCACTTCTTTAAAGGTACGGATTAAGGGGCACTTGGAATGTTATTTTATAAATTTTAAAATAAAATCTGCTTAACCTATGCAGAAAAATCCATTATTTAGATGAATATGTTTGATGTGTTTTTAGATGCAAATTAATAATTAAGGTCATTGTAAGGGACTGTTGTTGAATGCTGGGATGCGCACAGCTAAATAAATCATTGCAGTGTCACCAGAAATACACTGTATACATTGTACAAATCAAGATATTTTGTTCTTGCTGAACCAGGTAGGCGTCCATCATTATCTCTAAATTATGATCCTAATCATTTCAATTCAGAAAAATTATATTCCTGAATTTTCATTTGTTCCCTTAAATTAATAAACCTATGTCTCCAATGATTAACTTTCTTTACTATCAACTTTATATTTTGGATATAGTAGATCAACGTCAACATTATATTTGACATGGTGGAGAAAGTGTTGCCCTTCACAGGAGAGAAGCGTCAGAGCACAGTTCAGTACTTAACAGGAAATGATCATTTTATGAAAGAAGAAAGAAGTGCAGACCTCGACCAAGGCAAATGTCAAACAACATGCACCAGACTTCACAGCAAACATTTCAAATTCCTAGTAAATGATATTTACTGGCTTCGTCACCAGCCCGTGCCCCATCCCTCCGCCAAGTTCCGTTCAAATTGGCTCAGTACTTTCAGCATAATCCTGCTGACTAACAAACAGACCTCCTTGGCGGAGGTAATAAGGATACCGACAGTGACGCAGGACATGCAACATGTGAGCATGATGTCAACTGAAATAGTTTGGACACAGGGTTTTTTGTACAAAGCTTCATTACCAGATGAATTTGTAATTAGCCTGCAGCCATGTACAGTGTCTCTGATCACCATTAAAGTCCTCTGAGTTCACACAAATGTCTTTTTCTGTCTGTCATCTGACGAGCCGCTCGCACAGGAAATCCCACAGAACTCCAATTTAATGCTGTTATAAAGTCTGTCCATCTCTTTAGCAATGACTTCTTCAACGCCACCGCCTCGGAGTGTTCTCCCTCTCTCTGCATCACGTGTCTGTTTGGAGACACGACCTTGCACGACTCGGCAGGAAGATTTGTTTAATGCAAATGTTTCTGCTTTCCAGGCTTGTGATTTCTAAAAGCAATTAACTGGCTGCGTTCCTCCAAATTTGAGAGTTCGTCGGAGTGTTTCAGATTACCACTGAAACTCTGAAGTGAATCGTTTTGTTTTCATGCGTCTCACCTGACCTGATTAAAGTCATTTGGATGAAAGTGTGCCCTCTCAGCGTAATGAGGATACTTTTACTATAAATTGCCAGTGTTACGGAGTCGATGGGTCTTAAGTGTTTGAAATGAAACCACCCTTCATTTCCTCACATCCCCCACTCTCGCTGCGGCCACCGCTTAATGAATTGAGCCAGAGTTCATTTGAGTTAAGATCTCGCCGCTTGGCAGGGAGTTTGTACCGCCTGAGGGAATGAATCTACTTTACTTTTGATACTTAACCTAATTATGCTCCAGTTCTTCGTAAACGGAAACCTGGACTGGACCTTGGATCTGATAATCCAGAGTGGAGCTGCTCTGCCTCGACTTCTGAGATTCTCTCTTCTCTCTTAAAATTGAAGCATTTAATTGAGAGGGATGGAGTCCTAAAGAAAACACTGGTTGTTTGTCCATCGAAGCAACCTCCAAAAATTTTATGTAAATTTCCAAGAGCGTGGCCGATAAATCCTTTTTATCTGTACAAAGCTCCACGTTGCATTGTATTTACTAAACCACACCCACTGTTGCGCAATCCAATCAAATCTGAAGGATTTGATTCAATCACTCTCTTAATTTTAACCCCTCCCCTCTCCACACATATTCAGTGTCATTGGGAAATGCATCACATTACTATAGCTAAAGATGCTCTCACTTCCATTTCACTGTGACTTTGAAGCACCATTACATGAGCGGGGCTGTGACCAATAATCTTGGCTCATGACCCCTTAAGGTGACGCATCACAGGTTGCATGTGTTTATGCCTGGTGACCACAAGATGCAAAATTGTGCAAGAATTCACAAGCAAAAAAACAAAGAAAGAAAAGGATCAAACCATAATTTAATACAGTGGGAATGTTTTATCTTTTTCAACTCATTAGAATGATCTCACCAAATTCATATTGGAATATATCAAATATTATTTTTAATTTCATACTAGAAAAATTATAAAATTATCCTTTAAGTTCAATGAGCCCAAACAGAGGTCTTCAAATTGCTTGTTTTTGTCCTAAGCACAAAACAAGTCGGAATAACAATGGCTACTTTTACATAACTACTGTACTGTACGTATATTCATCAGTGTGCCTCTTTGCTCATTAATGTTATTTGTCTAGTAAAGTTCTGTCCAAACATCAGTTTTTCTAGTTACAACACTAGTAAATCCAAGCACCTTGGTACTTCCAGTTTATTGGCCCTGATTCTATCTCTTACATCTACAAACTCCTTCAGAACCCAGATAGTTCTAGTGTACAACATTTTTACTCATCAGCTGCATCCAAACCTCTGCTCACCTGATAGATGACGACGCGGAACTTGTTGCGGGTGAGCAGCTCATCCTGTGTGGATTCAACCTTCTTGACCCGTACGTTCTGCTTCTCAACGCGCGTCCGGACCTCCTTGACATTGGCGCTGACTTTGCGGGTCTTCTGCAGGAGCTTTTCCACCGTGCCGCTGGTGTCGGTGTGGTCCTTGGCCAGCTTCAGGACATCGCCCTGGATGGTCTTGATGTTGTTCTCCAGTTCCAGCTGACGTTCTTCCATGCGCTGCTGGCAGGACTGGACGTTGTCGATGATGCCAGCCACGCGCTCCAGCAGCGACAGGATGGTCAGGGCGCTGATGGGGTTTCCAGCCTCATCCTCCACCCCAATGATCTCCAGCTTCTCCTGGACGCCCGCCGTGCGATACTTGTGCTGATCCATTGCACTGTTTCGATGTAAAAAAAATGTAATCTCTTGATTCAAATTTGTTTGAAAGTTGCTTAAAATTAGCAGACGTGTCGTTTAGTTTGGGGAGGGAGATCAGAACTGTTGGGGTTACCAGCAGGGAGACTGGAGAGTGGCAACACCCAACCGCTGTGACCCAAACTCAGGTCTGGGGACAGGGGAGAAGGGAAACTCCACCTACCGCTTTTAAAAAAGGCTTCAGGATCCAAAGGGAACCTGAATTCAGCCCTCATCTGGATGTGGGCCAGGCGATACATTCAGAGGGGAGTACTCACACGAACCCCCCCCCCGCCCCCCCGCCCCCCCCCCCCACAGCCAAAAATAAAAACTCTCTGTAAGGCGACACTCGGACATTTGGGGAAGAAGCAAAGCAGGAGGAGGATGGAAATCCCCACCCAAGTCCTGCTCTGCTTTGTTAGACCCACGCACATTGATTCATAATTTTCCGTTATTTACTCACATGTTCATGCTAGCAGCTGCGAAACATGTACATCAGCAGCGGCTTAGGAGTCACTCTCACTCGCTCTGCAGTGACAGATGCAAAGACGCCACAGTTGTCTGGTCTGATTACACAGTGCTGGAATGTTTTCGGGGATTAAACATTGCAGCTCTGCCCTTTTTACTTTCCCTGTGGGAGCAGAGTCCAAACATTGACTGAGACTGAGATCTGAAGCTCTTTATAGAGACGACTGTGTGAGGAGTGTCAGAGTGACACTATTTTAACACTCACTCGTCTGAATGATTTATTTATCCTGAGCACAAGTTATTTGCTAAGTGTACAGTACACATCTCAAGTGTTCTGCTGTATTTAGTGGAGTGATTAATTGTTGGTCTTTAGCTCAGTTTGACTGCATGACAGGGAAGTCATGAACTTGCTTTGTCATCTATTAATAAGAATGTGTTAGAAAATGTGTGTTGGCCATAAATACACACATTGATGTGTTAAAAATATCACACTTACAGCTGCCCCCCTAAATTCTGAGAGGATTAGCTTTCCTGACTTCCTTGCACGTAAGGGGTCAGTCTCAAAGGAGGTGGAGGGTCGGGTTAGCTTAAGTGTTTTTAGAAAGTGCAGCAAAATAACACTTTGACAATGAGCTAATAACACAGGCAACTTTCTGTAGTTTGAGTCTATTTGGCCCCAAACAGCCAATGAACTGAGTGTACAAACATCAGCCCAACCCAACCCAACATCTGCTAAACACATGCTAAACGTCACAGTGTCAGTCAGCCAACGCTGGGTTTTGACGTCAACCTGATTTTCATTTCCAACTAGAAACGTCTTTCTGACATTACAGTGATGTCCTGTGCCAGCTGGGAGCGATATTGCATATTTTTAGCCTTTAAGCCTTTAGTTAGCCGATGTTAGTGGCTAATGCAACAGGTAATGCTATATTTTATTTGCCTTGACATTAGCCTTGTTATTCCAGCAATGTCTTTTAATTGCATATGGAACAGTGTTCACAGTTGGGTGATGTCTTCAATTTAGCACTTACTTGATGGCATCAATGTTCATATTAAGCATTGGTAATAGTCAAATCAGACCAAACACAGTTTAAAAGCAAAGTCTTACCTAGAGATGATGAGGATTCATCTATAAATGAAGAGGAGGTTGAAGTTATTGTGTGTTTTACTTTACTTTTCTTTAATATCCTGTAGTGTAACTGTCATATTTTCATTAACTGAAACAACAGTGTTTTTATTTTCTGTTTCTGCTCTGACTGCAGTTAAATAGAATTATTTTTTAGTTCAGTTCTTCACACTTACTCTTCCTGAATTTATCTCTGTATTCAGTGCTGTTCAGTTTCACATTCATCCCGACATTTCCTGTCTTTGAGGGAGCCACTACTTCAGGATCAGGGACTTCTCTTACATGAATGAATGTTGGATCTTGATGGATGTTTTATTTATTTATTCATTTTTTATAGTGTGATGGTTTGGCGTTGCTGAATCTGTTCGACTGAAACCAGCAGCTGCTTTTGCCCCTGAACACCCCCCCACAAACACCCACCCACCACCTCTGCTCTATAACTCTATATTTATCCGGGGCAGCGTGGCTGAGGCCCTGCCCCCGGCAGAAATGTACGACACGTCACGTGGAGAGGCGTTGACCTCTACTCTGATTCTGACTTCTGCAGTTTTTAATAACGTGGAGCATCACTTAATGACTCAGCCCCTCCTCTCTGACAGTTGGGTGGGGGCTAATAATGATGACATGGCCACATTCACCCTCACCTTGTCCTCATTTTCAAACCCCCACAGATTATCTAGGTGGGGTAGATATTAGAAGCATTTAATTGCAAACTCTGGTGATGATTAAAAGACTATGGAACGTTACGGAACAGTTCCATGTTATGTTTCAGAACTAATAAAACCTACTCATATCTACATTAAACAGATGGGGGCTGGATGTTTGGTGACGTAGTGACCATTTGCAGGGTTAGTGGTGAGCTAGTCTCGCACAAAACGTTCTGGGTTGTGTCAAGTTCCTTAAACCAACCACCACCATGTTTGCCGGCGCTAAGGTAACTGGGGAAGAATACAGAGAGCAACAACTATTTTCTATGTAAGGTGAAAGTGACTTTACAGAATTTCTTCCACTGATGGAACCACATTTTCCATCTAAAAAAGGCCTCAGACAAAGAAAGAGATGAGACCAGAAGCAGCAGGAGGACTGGCCATGGGGACTAACTGCTAAATCCCGGTCAGCTGGTGACCGCCAACATCCATAAAGTCCAAGGCAGATTTCTTTCCCAGTTCAACCTTGGGGGGGCGGGGGGGGGGGGGGGGGGGGGCGGGGGCTGACAAAGCATTTGTTTTGGTCTGAAATGCTAATGGTGTAGTGCGACATCTAGTGGCAGTGACGACAATCATTTCGTCACTGAACACAGAACAATCATTTCGTGAAAACGAAGCTCTCTGAGCTAACAAGATTGCTAACAGTCAGTTAGTAAACTGATTAAGTTCACAGTTTGTTCAGTTTG